AAGGTCTAGACTTACTCACAGCAGAGCAGGGAGATATCTGTTTAGCTTTACAGGAACGATGCTGCTTTTATGCCAACAAGTCAGGCATCGTACGGGACAAGATCAAGACCCTTCAAGAAGACCTGGAAAAACGGCGAAAAGCTCTGACTGAGAGCCCTTTCCTTACAGCCTTCAACGGACTGCTCCCCTTTCTTCTCCCTCTCCTCGGGCCTTTAATAGCTATCATTCTCTTCCTGACCTTTGCTCCCTGGGTTCTCAGGCGCACCACAAACCTCATCCGAGACCAACTTAACTCCCTTCTTGGCAAGCCTATCCAGATACATTATCACCAGCTAGAAATGAATGAACCTGGCACTGACTCGCAGCTTTTTCTCCGAGGATGTCCTCGCGCATAAACTCCCTTTTACACCCCCACCTCCTACGGGAACAGTATAACTCTTGGCGTTATACTTTACATATGAATTGTAATGGATACCGCTAGGTGCAGAGCAAAGCATCGCAAGGAGAAGCTACCCCCGAAGGTAGCCCTGCCATGTCTCCTGAGAGGCAAGTCGGCTTGCATAGAGGTCAGCGCCCCAACCCTCTCCTCTTTTGGGGGGGCTGATTCTTTTTTGGCGTGTCGGGCCGAGGCAATAATGTTTGCATTTCTTCATCTATATTCCTAGAAGCGGGATCACTGGATCAAAAGGCAGATCCATTTTAATTTTTTGAGGAAATTCCATACTGTTTTCTTCAGTGGCTGCACCAGTCTGCATTCCCACCAACCTCCAAGCAAGTTCAGCTGCTGGCCCAGTCAGTGTCCTAGAGTCCAGCAGGTCCGTAGCAGGCAGCTATCCAGAGGTTCCCCTTGTGACTGAGCCAATTCCCAGGGAGCTTTCCTAGCATCCCAGCAGGAGGCTTTCTACTCACTAGCCTGTAGCACGTCAGCAAGCTTCACCACTGCCCAGTGGGCTGCTATACAGCTCACTCCCCTCAAATGTGCTCCTTCCTTGGGCACTTGGCCTCAGCCAGAGTCACCTGCTGATTTATTGCATGTTTCTGTGTTCCTTGGAATTCTCTTTACCTGTTGTAGTTAATCCCTAGTTACTAGTCAATTCTTTATAATAAACTTCACTTGTTTGGATTAATGTGAGTTTTTGCCTCCTGGCTAGACTGACCCTAAATGATATAATTATTTTTATAAAAGGATTTATTTAATGAAAATCAAATAGCATATATGCTAGTACCTCAAATTATGCTAACATCTATATTGAATTTTGTAAAATTTTGGAAGTTCTTGTCATTTTGAAACTCTTTTCTTTCTTAAAATAAATATAAAATACTAAGGTCTAAAAGGATGTTGTCTTACTTTTGAATTTTATGTGTGGAGATTGTTTTAAAAAAAGGATATATTTATTTTTTTATGAGCAAGTAAAGGAAACTGAATTAATAAATGCGCAAGTCCCTAGAGTCCAATTTACTTTATAACAGAGGATAAAGTTGGCCCATAAAGTGCCTTCATGTAGGTTTCTACACACTCCTGACATGGGGTTGCAGGTGGCAGTAACCATCGGAGCCTACGCAAGCAGTGATAACAGCTTAAGCTGGATTAGGCATGGGCGATTTCTGGTCAGAATATGGGATTTCATAGAACACATCAATCTTATGGAATATTATGTGGTTTAATGCAAAACATAAAATAAATCTCAGGACTATGAATGTTTTCTTCTTTTAAAAAAGGCTCTTTAAGTCACACAACATATAGCCATGTTGGTTGAATTGCTGTCCCATACACCACCTGGTTGTAGGTTCAATCCCCGGTCACAGCACACACCGGAGGCAGCAAAAGGATGTTTCTCTCACATCAGTGTTTTCTTTCTCTACCTTTCCCTCTCCCTAAAATCAATAAACATAGCCACAGATAAGGATTAAAAATAATAATAATAATAAAACACAACATATATGTTATTATGTATTCTCTCCCTTAACTTTAAAGTGCTAAATGTGATTCTCTATATTTGTTAACATTGTTCCTTTGCTTAGCTGAAAGAAATTATGTCATCTTACAGAAATATACACACTATAGTATATACCTCAGAAGCTATGTGCATCTAAACTTTATTCTTTCTGAGGAACAATAAAGATTTGGGAACAAGGGTCCTACTTTAAACATCAGCAGTAACTTCTAAAAAATATAGCATTTTTCAAATTTTAGCTGATGATATTTTTGTTGCTACTGATTTAATACTTTAAAAGTGCCATCCCTGTGGGGGAAGGGAAAAAGGACAATAATGGGACATAATTCTTATACTAACCTATGTTGCACGTTCAGGGCTGGCTGGATGGGAGAGTTAGTGAAGGAAATATTAGAAAAGAGCAACCTTACCTCAGTGTATGTGGAAATAGAGATTATTCTTACCCGGCAGACAGGCCAGTGAATTCATCCAGTATGTTTTAACCATCAACTGGCAGTTCCACCTACTCTACCCTCTAGGACCGTCCTGTCATTTCCATCACCTGGCCCAAGACTCTCATTTTACAAGCTAAAAAACTAATATCTGTGTAGGTTAAGTTGAAGGTTACATGGCTAATTGGTGGACTGAGCTTTAATGCAGTAGGAACTGCAACCTCTTTCATCAAAACCAGCGGCAGCGTCTGTTGTTGCCTCCCAGAGCTCAACCTCTCCTGCCTTAACGCAGAATTCCACTTTTTAGATGGGCAGACGTCTACTCAGCCTCCCTTACAGCTAGATTTGGCAATAAAATCACCTGGCCAATAAGATATAAGAGAAGCTAGAAAGAGAGAGGTGGGGGAGGGAGAGAAAGACCCATTACAGAATTCTGGTCCTGCAAAGATTCCTCAAAAAAAAGTCTTCTAGCCCTGGCTGGTGTAGCTCAGTGGATTGAGCACAGGCCTGCGAACCAGAGGATCGCGGTTCAATTCCCAGTCAGGGCATATTCCTGGGTTGCAGACCAGTTCCCTGCAGGCCAGTTCCCAGCAGGGGATGCATGAAAGGCAACCATACATTGATGTTTCTCTTCCTCTCTCCTTCCCTTCCCTTCTAAAGATAAATAAATAAATAAAAATCTTTTTAAAAATTTTTTTAAAAAGAAAGTTTTTTAGATAATAAGGTCAAATTTAATATGATGTCCATAGTAATTGTATTTGTAAAACATTGGGTCCGTCTTAACATTTTATTTAAGTGCTATCTTAGTTTCTATAATTATTAATAGGTAATAATTATCATCTAAAGCAGGGGTGTCAAACTCGTTATCACCAGGGGTCACATCAACCTCGTAGTTGCCTTCAAAGGGCCCAGTGTAATTTCAGGACTGTATAAATGTAACTGCTCCTTAACAGCTAAGCAAGAGCTCTGTGCTGCCAATGGATAGAAACAAGGTGCCGGGCTGGATAAAACAAAGGGGAGGGCCGGATTCAGGTCACAGGGCTTGTGTTTGCCACCTTTGATCTAAAGCTTAATAATGCTTAATAATGAGCCTAGTAATAACTTTTTAGACTGAAAAGAACAGCTTCCCAAACAACTAAACACATTTTCCTATATCTTTACCCTTGTATTGGTAATTTTAGAGATTACCACTAACTTTAATTGCTCTGTCTGGTGTTTTAAATGTTTCAAGCATCCATGCTAAATGATACAAGAGAACTCAAGTCAGGCAGAGCAAGGTTATAATTCAAGATTTTCAAATACATTAAATAGAGTAACATATATTTGTTTCTTATATAGTTATCTGTAGCTTCATTAATATAATTAACCACTGAACTTCACATATTTGAAGTATACAATTTGATCATTTTGATGCCTGTGTACTCTCAGAAAACCATCGATATAATCAAGGCAATAAACATAGCCATCACCTGCAAAAATTGGGGGGGGGCCTTTTCAATTCTTTCTGCCTGCCCCTTCCTATTCCTTAATCCCTATTAGAGGCAACCACTGATCTTCTGTCACTATACCAGATTGACTTTTCTACAATATTATGTTACTAGGATCATACAGTATTTATCTTACTTGTCCAACATAATGATTCTGATATCATCACTCTTTGTTTCATGAATCAATAGTTGTTTCTTTTATTGCCAAGTACTTTTCCATTATAAGGATATACCACAAATTGTTTATTTACTCACCCAGTGTTGGATATTTGGGTTATTTCCAGTTTGTAACTATTAGGAAGAGTTGCTAAGAATATCTGTGTAAAAGTCTTGGTGTTAACATACACTTTCATTTCTCTTGGTGGAATGTCTGGCACTTAAAGCAAGTGAATGTTTAATATTTTTTTAAACTGCCAACCACTTCCCATTTCAACCCCCAGTAGCAGCACTCCAGAGTTCCGTTTCCTGGCAGGTCCATCCACCCTCTTGTCAGTCATTTTGATTGGAATCGTCCCGATGGCTGTGTGGTGGGTTTTCATTGTTTACTTTCCCCTAATGGATAATGATGTTGAGCGTCTTTTCATATACTTAGTTGCCATCCATATACTTTTGGTAGACTATAGGTACAATCTTTATCCATTTTTAATTAGGTTGATTGTTTTTGTTATTCTTGTATTTTGAATATTCCTTCCATATTCTGATTTAAATGTTTTTTTAAATATGCGATTTACAATATTCTTTTTCCAAAAAGTGACTTATTTATATATTTTCTTCATAGTGTCCTCCAAATAAATGCATTTCTTAATTTTAATAAAGATTAATATATTATTTGTTTTGGGGGGAGGTTGTGCTATTAACACTGTGTTTAAGAAATGATTGCTTACCCAAGATAACAAAGATTTTCTTTTATGTTTACTTCCAGTGTTTTTTATATTTATAGATTTTACACTTAGGTCCATGTAACACTTTTAATTAATTGTTATGTGTTGCAGTGAATGGATCAAGTTTCTTTTGTTGGGTTTTTTGGGTTTATTTTGCATATGGGTGTTTAAGCTTTCCAGAATGATTTTTTGGAAATGCTGTTCTTTCTCCACTGAATTGTCTTTCTTCAAAGTCACTGGACTAAGATGGTGGCCACCATGAAGAAGGAGGCTGCAGAAGATGTCAATGTTACATTTGAAGATCAACAAAAGATAAACAAATTTGCACAGAATACAAGTAGAATCACAGTGCTGAAGGAAGAAATAGACATAAAAAAGAAACAAGTGCAAAATTTAGAAGATTCTTTCAAGGACATCAGGCTTGCAGATGACAACTGTGATGATACCTTATCAAATTGTGAAGTTTTCATTAGCCGTTCTCAAAAAGAAACACAAGAAATATTAGGAGAAGAAAAGAAAAAATTTCAACGAGAAATTGACACCTTAGAACCTGGATTCCAGCGGATGTTAGTAGATCTGAAAGTTCAGTTAATATGCAAAATTTGGAAGTTACATAAACCTTGAAGATGATGAAAGCTAAACACTTTTATAGCTTTCATTGCTTAATAAACTTAAATATTGTTTAAATAATAATTTCCCCACTTCAAATGATAACAAATTTTCTATTTTAAAATTTCATTTATTTAAAAGAAATGCCTATTTTCACATGTCTTGTTTATATTTTTAAAAGAAGACAGTGTTCACCTATATATTTTACATAACTGTTTTATCAAGTGTGTGCATTATCTGTCATGTCATTAAAATCAGTTAAGCAATCTTTTGATTTAGAATATCTGTTGCAATTTTTATTCAAAAATTTAAGTTGTTACTATGTTGTTTATGTTTTTATTTGTTGCAATTTAGAGATGGCAAAAAGACTCCAGAAACATCAAATCCTAAAAAAAAATAAAAATCATTTGATTGTATATGTTTGAGCTTGTATCTGGCTTATTTATTCTGTTTCCCCAATCTATTTCTCTGCTTTTACATCAATGCCACGCTGTTTGATAATGTAATGAGTAATACAATATTTGCGGACAGATATTATAAGTCCTCCAACTTTGTTCTATCTTTTCATAGTTATTTTTAGCGGTTCTAGATTGTGTTCATTTCCACATAAATTTAAAAATCAGCTTATTCAGTACTATCGAAATGACTGTTGGGATTTTAATTGGGATGTTATTGAATCTGTCAATCAGTTTAAGTGGCATCTTAAGACTATTATTTTTTCAACCAAATCATGGTTACTAGTTTTCTCATGTAATTTGTATTTTTAAAGTTTATATGAATAATGCTTGATAATTGTCCATGTATAAGTCTTACACAACTTTTGTTAAATTTAACTCTAAATATTTCATTTTTGATGTTTTTAAATGGTATTACTTTAATTTCAATTTCTAATCAATCATTGCTAGTATGTAAAAATAATACTGCATTTCTGTTGTCAAATTTCTATCCTACACCCTGCTAAACTCACTTCTCATTTCTGGGAATTTTTTTTTTTTTGTAGATATAGACGATCCCACCACCTGGGAATCCGACAGCATCACTCTTCTGTTCTGATTTTGATGTCTTTCAGATTTCATAGCTGTGGCTAGAACCTCCAGTACTGCCTTGAATAGAAGAGGGGAAAGAGAATACTCTTGATCTGATTTCAGGGTAAAGCATTCAGACTTTATCACTAAGGATGATGTATGTGCAGATTTTTCATATATTACTTTATCAGAGTGAGAAATTTTCCTTTTATTCAGTTTGCTGAGAATTGTTATCAGTAATGAATATTTAACTTTGTCAGTGGTTTTTCAGTATTTATCAAAATGATCATAAGTTTTTGTTTTGTTTGGTCCATTAATATGATGAATTATACTGATTGATTTTCTGATTTTCAAACATTAAACCAACCTTGTATTCCCAGAATTAACCTACTGGGTCATGTTTTATTATCTTTTTTAAACATGTTAATGAATTTTATCATAAAATTTTGTTAATTATTTTGTATCAATGTTTATCAGCAGTATCGGTCTATATTTTTCTTCTAATATATTTTCTGGCTTTGGAATCTGGGTAATGCTGCTCTCATATTATGCATTGCTAAGTGTTCCACCTTCCCTCTTTTCTGAACTATTGGTGGAGACTTTGTATTATTTCTTCCTTTAAAAATTGTAAAATTCCTAAGTGAAGCTACCTCATCCTGGAGCTTTTCTTGCAGGAAATTTTTAAACTACAAATTTGATTTCTCTTATAGATAACACTATTCTGAATTTCTATTATTCTAAAATGAATGTTGAATTTTAATATGTATATTTTCAAAAATATATATTAAAATATATATTATAAACATATATATGTTTATATGTGTGTTTATAATATATTATGTATTTGATAAATATATATCAAAATACAATTAAGATAATCAAAAGCATACAATTCAAGTAATTAGATTAATTGGAATTTATATAGATCTATAAATATTTTCCAAACAACGAGAATTAAATAATACAACATGGATCAAGTAGTTACTTTAGTGAATAAAAATAAATAATAGAAATAATTATTTATAAAACTGTCTCTTTCAACATATCAAAAACAAAGTTAATGTCAAAAATTTATGAAAATTAAGGATGCTTATGAACACATCCATGTTATTTTTTGATGCATGCTTTATAGATTTATTTGTTATGCCTTGTTGTGACCTAAAATCTTTTTGCACTTCAGAGCTATTATAAGCTCTGAAGTACACTATTATAAGCTCTGAAGTCCACTATTTTGCATTACATTTAGTCCAGAAGGACATCATCAGCAATGAAGAATTATGTTTTAATTGTTGCTTTCCTGATTTTTCTCACCCTTCCCACCATAAAAATAGTGATGACAATAGTATCTTAGAACTGCAGTATTTTTTCAGAATGTTACAGGTAGAGGGAAAGTCTATACCCAGCCCTAGACATCCTCTGTTCCCGATCCTAATGAAAATTCCCATCAGCTGTGACAGCAAACTTCTCGCCTGTGCTCTAGCAAGCAACTTCTTCAGGGCAAAGTTCACTTTATCAAATGTGACAGTAAATTAAAATAAATGAGAAATTCTCAGAGTTCACATTTAGTAAATAATAAACAAAACAAAAACCACATTTAATAAAGAAACAACAATAAAGCAACAATTTTACTAGCTTAGAAGTTTTCATTTGTTTAAACTGACCTGACACAGTATTTGTTATGTCTTTTAAAAATTCATTATGATGCCATCTTGTTACATTCTAAAATATGCCAAGTCCTTTGTGATTAAGAATTCTTCATTTTGGACTTAGGGAGTAATGTTTAACTCAGAGGAAGAGGAAGAAACAGCTGTGCTACTGAGAGCTAACAGCTGATTTATAGCCTAAACATATTTTGGAAGAAAATCTCTTTACAGAAAAAAATATATATATGCCATCAAGATGTCACCAGAAAAGAACACTAACCATTAGGGCTGGACTACCTCTGTGTCTCCGTAGATAATGGGGACTAAAAGGGGGAAACCTCAAGATGTCATTCAGTTGGAGAGTTCCTGTTTTGAGTTTTTAAATGGCAATCAATGAAGGGTGGTTGGGTGGTGGCGATGGCTACTGCTGATGATAATGTGTGCTTCTCTAAGTTGAAACACATAGGGTTTTGTTTGTTTGTTTTTCTTTTTTTATTTTATTGATTATGCCATTACATTTGTTCTATTCCCCCCCTTCATTCCCCTCCACCCTGCACCCCCCTCCCCCACCATCCCCCCTTTAGTTTATGACCACGTGTCTCAAGTTCTTTAGATTCTATATTTCCCATACTATTCTTGCCCTCCCCCCTATCTATTTTCTACCTACCATCTATGCTACTTATTCTCTGTACCTTCTCCCCCCTTCTCCTCCTCCCACTCCCCTATTGCTAACCCTCCATGAGATCTTCATCTCTATATTTTCGCTCCTGATCTAGCTGTCCTTTTAGTTAACTTTTGTTTTAGGTGTGGTTGTTAATAACTGTGAGTTTGCTGTCCTTTCACCATTCATCTTTTTTATCTCCTTTTTCTTAGGTAAGTCCCTTTAACATTTCATATAATACGGGCTTGGTGATGATGAACTCCTTGGATTTGATCTTATCTGAGAGCACTTTATCTGTCCTTTCATTCTAAATGAAAGGTTTGCTGGATAGAGCAATCTTGGTTATAGGTCTTTGGATTTCATGACTTGGAATACCTCTTTCCAGCCCCTTCTTGCCTGTAGGGTCTCTTTTGAGAAATCCTCTGACAGTCTGATGGGAACTCCTTTGTAGGTGACTGTCCCCTTATCTCTTGCTGCTTCTAGGATTCTCTCCTTCATTTTAATCTTGGCTATTTGTAATTCTGATGTGCCTTGGTGTGTTCCTTCTTGGGTCCAACTTCTTTGGGACTCTCTGAGCTTCCTGGATTTCCTGGAAGTCTATTGCCTTTGCCAGATTGGGGAAGTTCTCCTTTATTATTTGTTCAAATAAGGTTTCCACTGGTGGCTGTTCCTCTTCCCCTTCTGGTACCCCTATAATTTGGATGTTGGAGCGTTTAAAGATGTCCTGGAGGTTCCTAAGTCTCTTCTCATTTTTTTGAATTCTTGTTTCTTCATATTTTCCTGTTTGGCCATTATTTTCTTCCTTCTGGTTCACTCCCTTGATTTGAGTCCCAGTTTCCTCTTCATCACTATTGGTTTCCTGTGTATTTCCCTTCATTTCAATTAGTTTAGCCTTCATATGTTCCTCTAATTTGTGACTAAAATCAACCAGTTCTGTGAGCATCTTGATCACCAGTGTTTTGAACTGTGCATCTGAAAGTTTGGCTATTTCTTCATCGCTTAGATTTATGGGCTCTGGGGCTTTGAGATCTTCTTGAGACATTTTTGGTTGGTTCCCACCTGTTAATTATGAGGAGTGGAGCCTTAAGTGTTTACCAGGGCGAGGTTGCCCAGGTCGCTGGGTTGTGACTCTGTATGTGGGGGCGGGGTCAGAGCGGGGAAATGGTGGCCCACTCTGCTGCCTCCTGACATGGGGCCTGCTCGGTCCTATCTCACCAGCCACTCCCTTGCTGGTCTATCTGCACACAAATGCGGGACCACAGTCAACCTGCGGCCCTGCACCCTTGCTGGGTACGCTGGTCGCTCACTGGGTCGCTCACTGAGTCGCTCACTGTGTCTGCCCGTTGCAACTCCACGCCTGGGATCCTCATGCCTGAGTCCATCCAACCGAGTTTTCCTGTGCAACCCCGCTCCACCAGCTGCTGGCTTGGCCCATATTACCGGTCAGGCTGAAGAATTTGTTGTTATCAGACTTCCGAAAAGTTCAATTTTCTGTGTTCTGGCTGTTTTCGGTTGCTAATATTTTGTTGTCTCTAAACTTGGTTGTGTGAGAAAGCACAGTGTCTCCACCTATGCCTTCATCTTGGCGGAAGTCCGAAACACATAGGGTTTTATTAGGACAATGACTTATACTCTTTTTATTAAGACAGCACAAGGCTCATTGCCAATGCTTTCCTTTCTGAGCAA